TCAGAGTATAACATCACAGTGACCTGCTCTGATGAGGGAGTGCCCTCCCTCTCCAGCAGCGTCACTCTCACCTTACAGATCTCTGATGTCAATGACAACGCTCCTGTCTTTGAGAGGAGCTCATATGAGGCCTACATTGTAGAAAACAACACTCCAGGTCTCTCCATATTCACAGTGAAAGCCAGAGACGCTGACTGGAACCAGAATGCCCGTGTTTCTTACATACTGGAGGACTCCTCTGTTAACGGAGTGCCAGTCTCCTCATATGTGTCCGTTAGTGCTGATAGTGGAGTCATCCATGCAGTGCGCTCTTTTGACTACGAGCAGATCAAAGATTTCCACTTCCGTGTCAAAGCTCAGGATGGAGGCTCTCCTCCTCTCAGTAGTAATGTGACTGTGAAAATACTGATCCAGGACCAGAACGACAACCCCCCTCAGGTCCTGTACCCAGTCCAGACTGGAGGCTCTGTGGTGGCTGAAATGGTGCCTCGTTCAGCAGATGTGGGCTATCTGGTCACTAAAGTGGTGGCTGTTGATGTGGACTCTGGACAGAATGCCTGGCTCTCCTATAAACTGCAGAAAGCCACAGACAGGGCGCTGTTTGAAGTGGGCTTACAGAATGGAGAAATCAGAACTATCCGCCAGGTGACTGATAAAGACACAGTGAAACAGAGACTGACTGTTATAGTGGAGGACAACGGGCAGCCCTCTCGTTCAGCTACAGTCATTGTTAACGTGGCGGTGGCGGACAGCTTCCCTGAAGTGCTGTCGGAGTTCACTGACTTTCCACACGACAAGGAGTACAATGACAACCTGACTTTTTACTTAGTGCTGGCTCTGGCTGTAGTTTCCTTCCTCTTCATCACCTGTTTAGTGGTTATTATATCAGTGAAGATCTACAGGTGGAGACAGTCTCGCATCCTGTATCACTCCAATCTCCCTGTGATTCCATATTATCCACCACGTTACTCAGACACTTTGGGGACAGGGACTCTCCAACACGTGTACAACTACGAGGTGTGCAGGACGACTGACTCCAGGAAGAGTGACTGTAAGTTTGGTGGAGCTGGTAGTCAGAACGTGTTGATAATGGACCCCAGTTCTACAGGGACGATGCAGCGGATACAGGGAGAGAAGAGCATCCTGGATGAACCAGACTCTCCTCTGGAGGTTAGAATATCATAATATATGAGCTTTTTAAAGTTTGTGTTTATTTGTCTTTTTTTACCATGGTGTTTTGTATAAAATACCTCTTGCTTTTAGGATTAGTTTTTTTTTTCTATTTCAGCACCAAAGACAGAGACAGGATTGGTTGTTAGCAGTTTTCCGTTTCTGTGCGTGTAATATGCATGTATTTTTCCTACTACAGTTCTTAGAAAATGCATATAGGCAGGAGTTATATCCTTTGAAATGTATATGTTACATTCAATATCAGCACTCTTTAAAGAAATCCACTCTTTTCCTTCGCCGCATGAAATACTAAATCGATGTTGTATCTATCAGTCTGTTGCAAACCTTGATTTTTTTGCTGCAGTTTAGCATTATGAACTCTTAGGGACGCTGTAGTCCAGCATGTTACTCAGTACTAGTATATTCTCAATAGTGCCTCCCCATCTTGTGTAGAGGGATACCAGATCCTGCAGAGGAAGGATTAGAATCGTGACTAAAACACTTCTTTGGCTTGGAATATATTCTATCTTTGATGAGGAGTGTTTCTTGACTTTACGCTTGTTTCTGGGAGCTACATGAGGCATTTTATTCGACAGGAAATTTGTTTTTCTGACTTTTACATATTATCGAAGAGAACAATGAGACGGCAAGTGTTGTTTTTCATCACGCTCTATTTTGCCATTCCTGTGTTCGGCCAGGTCAGTTACACGATTAACGAGGAAATGTCGTTGGGTTCCGTAGTCGGAAATGTGGCTGAGGATTTGGGTTTAGATGCAAAAAGGCTGAAATCACGTAATGCTCGTGTCTATTTTGGTGATAGCAGTGAATACGTTGAGCTGAATAGAGCCACGGGAGTCCTTCTAATCAAAGAAAGAATAGACAGAGAGGCGCTCTGCGCACAGACGATGCCATGTGTTGTGCATTTTCAAATTATCTTAGAGAAACCTATCGAATTTTATAGGATACTGCTTGACATCTTAGACATTAATGATAATCCCCCGACCTTTGAGAAAAGCGATATCAAATTTAAATTAAGCGAATCTGCAGTCACCGGGGCGAAATTTGATTTGGAAGGGGCGGTAGATTTCGATGTTGGAAGTAATGGGCTCCAAACCTACGTCCTTGAGCCGACTGATAATTTTGCTCTAAAACTACACAATCAGGCAGACGGCTCTAGTACTGTTGAGATGATTTTAAAACAGCCACTTGACAGAGAGAAAAACGAGCATTTATCTTTAGTGTTAACGGCTGTAGATGGAGGAGAACCTCGCATGTCTGGAACAATGCAGATCCTCATCACGGTGTTAGATGCCAATGATAACGCACCCGTTTTCACAAAACCAGTATACAAAGCTACTGTTGCAGAAAATTCTCCAAAAGGCACAGCTGTGACAATAGTTAGTGCATCAGATGCCGACCAGGGTTCTAATGGAAGAATAACCTATTCGATCAGAAACACGTTAGATGATGTCAGACATTTGTTTGAGATAAATGAACATTCTGGTGAAGTTAGATTAATTGGAAATATTGACTACGAAAAGTCACGAAATTATCTAATACATTTACGTGCAAGTGACGACGGAGGACTAACTGATATGTGCAAATTAATAGTTGACATCATAGATGTAAATGATAATAACCCACTGATTGATGTAATGTCTAAAACAAATGTGATATCGGAGGATGTGGAAAGCAATACTGTCGTGACAATAATTAACATTCAAGACTTAGACGACGGTGAAAATGGCAAAGTCAGATGCACAATAAATGAAAATGTTCCTTTCTTATTGAAATCTACTGACAATAATTTTTATAGCCTAGTGACAGACAGTGAATTAGACAGAGAGAGAGCCTCAGAGTATAACATCACAGTGACCTGCTCTGATGAGGGAGTGCCCTCCCTCTCCAGCAGCGTCACTCTCACCTTACAGATCTCTGATGTCAATGACAACGCTCCTGTCTTTGAGAGGAGCTCATATGAGGCCTACATTGTAGAAAACAACACTCCAGGTCTCTCCATATTCACAGTGAAAGCCAGAGACGCTGACTGGAACCAGAATGCCCGTGTTTCTTACATACTGGAGGACTCCTCTGTTAACGGAGTGCCAGTCTCCTCATATGTGTCCGTTAGTGCTGATAGTGGAGTCATCCATGCAGTGCGCTCTTTTGACTACGAGCAGATCAAAGATTTCCACTTCCGCGTCAAAGCTCAGGATGGAGGCTCTCCTCCACTCAGTAGTAATGTGACAGTGAAAATACTGATCCAGGACCAGAACGACAACCCCCCTCAGGTCCTGTACCCAGTCCAGACTGGAGGCTCTGTGGTGGCTGAAATGGTGCCTCGTTCAGCAGATGTGGGCTATCTGGTCACTAAAGTGGTGGCTGTTGATGTGGACTCTGGACAGAATGCCTGGCTCTCCTATAAACTGCAGAAAGCCACAGACAGGGCGCTGTTTGAAGTGGGCTTACAGAATGGAGAAATCAGAACTATCCGCCAGGTGACTGATAAAGACACAGTGAAACAGAGACTGACTGTTATAGTGGAGGACAACGGGCAGCCCTCTCGTTCAGCTACAGTCATTGTTAACGTGGCGGTGGCGGACAGCTTCCCTGAAGTGCTGTCGGAGTTCACTGACTTTCCACACGACAAGGAGTACAATGACAACCTGACTTTTTACTTAGTGCTGGCTCTGGCTGTAGTTTCCTTCCTCTTCATCACCTGTTTAGTGGTTATTATATCAGTGAAGAGCGACAGGTGGAGACAGTCTCGCATCCTGTATCACTCCAATCTCCCTGTGATTCCATATTATCCACCACGTTACTCAGACACTTTGGGGACAGGGACTCTCCAACACGTGTACAACTACGAGGTGTGTAGGACGACTGACTCCAGGAAGAGTGACTGTAAGTTTGGTGGAGCTGGTAGTCAGAACGTGTTGATAATGGACCCCAGTTCTACAGGGACGATGCAGCAGATACAGGGTGAGAAGAGCATCCTGGATGAACCTGACTCTCCTCTAGAGGTTAGTTTCATACAATGAAAACAAACTATGGCAGCACATTTTATTGTGTTGGACAGTAAACTAGGGTCTATTGGACAATTAGGAATCACAATCTAATGCACGTATACTTCCTTCTGTGGCCATTACTTAATGCTGTTGTTGATATAGACAACTTCAATATCCACCTCATATCCTTTAAAAATAATTTAACTTTTATGTAAGTTGCATTTTCTTGCAACAATTCAGCAATGCTGGTGTTGTGGTCTGATTTAATGCTATTAACACAACTGATACATACCAAAAAGGGCATGTTTTGGTAAAATAAATAAATAAATGAAGTGTACCTTGACTATATTTCGGTGTTTTTAAAGAGCCATTGTCCAGCATCATTGTTCTGCTTTTATTTTTTTGTGAGTATAGCTGACGGCTGATTAATTAACAATAAATTTAGAGAAAGAACTTTATTATCAGCATTATAGATTAATGGACATATCAGTTTTCATTTGGCTTGAATATCCATTTGGAAAACACCCATTAGGTTGCACTCACTGAGTAATTGTTTGCAGAGGTGGCTGTTATGATTGACAGTGTGCCTTACTTCATTATTGCATTTTTATTTTCTGTCTTGGTCTCATACCCCATCTATAGTCTGTGATTACATGGTTGTAATACATAAGGTTATTTAATAAATAGCCTGCAGCTGTTATTCACTGTTTTCACTGTTAATTGAAGTTTGCCATTATAGTGACAGTGTATCAGATATATTACTACAGTGTCTGTATAAGTGAATTTATAATTTGTATCTTGGCATTTTCAACAGTAACATTGTGATAATAATTTAAAGCTGCATTTCACCACTTCTTAGTATTTTAATTTACCTACTGTTAATTAGTATGGGAAGCACTGATGTTGGGATATTAACGTTAGTCACCACAACCACTGCAAGAGTCACTGATCTTCTAGTGTTATTACTGAAATTTTCAGCCATGAGCTTTGTGGCGTTCTTGTTAATGGCCCTGAAACACCTAGTAGCCTTGTGTGTGGCTGATATAATAGATGAAAACATGTTGCCGCTATCATCCAATAACTATTATTGAACAGGACTGAGCTTTGGCATGTAAACAAATTGAATTGCTTGTTACTTTCAATTGCAAAAAAGTAAGTGAACATCTCCTATATTGTCCTTTTAAATGTCAGTTTTAACACCACTGTGCAGCGGGTGCCTCCTGTTTTAATGACTTGACATATTTCTAGTTGCCTGTTTTATCATCTTAGGACAGGCCAGTGCTGACAAAACTGATTACCAAGGAGTCTTTCCATTTGTAAAAAAAAAAAATAAGGCGTTGCTCTGGTATCACATAAGATGGTGACATCTATTACTTTTGTAATAACTGTAAGCTGTTTATATTGTACCTCCCATTGCATAGTATATGTGTCTGCAATACAAGTGTTTGGACTCTCAGGGCCGCTGTTGACTAATGCTTCCCCCCATCGTTTGGTAGATTTAACAGAGAAAGAGACACACGCACAGCACACAGGCGTCGTTGCAGAAGCCAGGGGATATCTGCGCTGCTATTCCGTGATTGCGGATTTAAAAGAATACTCGGATAATCTATTTGGTATGATTCCACTGGATACTTTATAACAAAATAACCGTAACGCTTTGGAATATAGCACGTTTTACATCCCCAGTAGATTACGAAGATAAAATGCAGGACAGAACAATGAGACGGCAAGTACTGGTGTTTATGTCGATTATTTCCCTTGGCTCAGTGTTCGGGCAGGTCACCTATTCCGTTCCCGAGGAAATGACTAAAGGCTCTCTGGTTGGTAACATAGCACAGGATTTAGGTTTGGACGTGAAAAGACTGAAGTCAGGTAAAGCTCGCATATATACTGAGGGCAATGCAGAATACATCGAGCTGAATAAAGACAGAGGAGTCCTGCTAGTGAAAGAGAGAATCGACAGGGAGGCGCTTTGTGGACAGACAACTCCTTGCGCTTTGCATCTTCAAATTACGCTGGAGGACCCGATTGAATTCTATACAGTTACAGTTGAAATTAATGACATCAACGATAATGCGCCGAGCTTCCAAAAGGATGAGATGAAATTCAGAATTAGCGAGTCGGCTGTAATTGGAGCAAAATTTGTGCTAGAAAGAGCAATGGATCTGGATGTCGGTGTCAATGGATTGCAGAGTTATTCATTAAAACCTACAGACAACTTTAATCTAAAACTCCAAAATCAGCAAGATGGGAGTAAAAAGGTGGAGATGGTTTTGCAAAAACATCTAGACAGAGAGGCGCAAGAGCACCTCTCTTTAACACTCACAGCTACTGATGGTGGTGATCCTCAGCTGGCCGGAACAATGAGAGTAGAAATTTCAGTGCTAGATGCTAATGACAATGCCCCGGTTTTTACGCAGGAAGTCTACAAGGCTATCATTGTGGAGACTGCTCCAATAGGCACAATCTTAAATACCGTTAGTGCCGTAGATGCAGATGAAGGTTCCAATGGAAAAGTGTCCTATTCAATAACAAACACATTGGATGATGTGCATACTAAGTTTAAAATCGACGACAACAGCGGTGTAATATCTTTAACAGGAAATATGGATTATGAAAAGGCACAGCACTATGAAATACACGTACAAGCCAGTGATGACGGAGGACTAACAGACTCGTGTAAGATTATTGTTGAGGTGATCGATACGAACGATAATAACCCATCTATTAATATAATGTCTAAGACAAATTCTGTATCAGAAGATTCTAAGCCAGGAACGGTGGTAACCATATTTAATGTGCAAGATCCTGATTCTGGAAACAATGGCAAAGTCGCATGTAATATCAACGAACACCTGCCATTTGTGATGAAATCAACGTCTAAAAAATTCTTTAGCTTAGTCACAGACAGTGAATTAGACAGAGAGAGAGCCTCAGAGTATAACATCACAGTGACCTGCTCTGATGAGGGAGTGCCCTCCCTCTCCAGCAGCGTCACTCTCACCTTACAGATCTCTGATGTCAATGACAACGCTCCTGTCTTTGAGAGGAGCTCATATGAGGCCTACATTGTAGAAAACAACACTCCAGGTCTCTCCATATTCACAGTGAAAGCCAGAGACGCTGACTGGAACCAGAATGCCCGTGTTTCTTACATACTGGAGGACTCCTCTGTTAACGGAGTGCCAGTCTCCTCATATGTGTCCGTTAGTGCTGATAGTGGAGTCATCCATGCAGTGCGCTCTTTTGACTACGAGCAGATCAAAGATTTCCACTTCCGTGTCAAAGCTCAGGATGGAGGCTCTCCTCCACTCAGTAGTAATGTGACTGTGAAAATACTGATCCAGGACCAGAACGACAACCCCCCTCAGGTCCTGTACCCAGTCCAGACTGGAGGCTCTGTGGTGGCTGAAATGGTGCCTCGTTCAGCAGATGTGGGCTATCTGGTCACTAAAGTGGTGGCTGTTGATGTGGACTCTGGACAGAATGCCTGGCTCTCCTATAAACTGCAGAAAGCCACAGACAGGGCGCTGTTTGAAGTGGGCTTACAGAATGGAGAAATCAGAACTATCCGCCAGGTGACTGATAAAGACACAGTGAAACAGAGACTGACTGTTATAGTGGAGGACAACGGGCAGCCCTCTCGTTCAGCTACAGTCATTGTTAACGTGGCGGTGGCGGACAGCTTCCCTGAAGTGCTGTCGGAGTTCACTGACTTTCCACACGACAAGGAGTACAATGACAACCTGACTTTTTACTTAGTGCTGGCTCTGGCTGTAGTTTCCTTCCTCTTCATCACCTGTTTAGTGGTTATTATATCAGTGAAGAGCGACAGGTGGAGACAGTCTCGCATCCTGTATCACTCCAATCTCCCTGTGATTCCATATTATCCACCACGTTACTCAGACACTTTGGGGACAGGGACTCTCCAACACGTGTACAACTACGAGGTGTGTAGGACGACTGACTCCAGGAAGAGTGACTGTAAGTTTGGTGGAGCTGGTAGTCAGAACGTGTTGATAATGG